TAACTCTGTGGGCGCCATTTTCCCTATATTGGAAAGGTTTGAAAATTAACCTCATACACAGGTCATAGTCCGACATTGCTGATATTTCTGGCCACTGTAAGCAACCTAGCATGCAAAATCTGATTGGGCCATCTTGAGTTTCACAAACAAGTAGGACAGGAAAGTGAAAACCGCAAGGCTCTATCTTCCAATAACAACCGAAAAACCTGTCAGTCTCAATCAGAATGGAATGCACTGTACATTCAAAGAAACTCGTCTGTCTAATTTATACAGTCTAAGCCTAAGCCCTAAACCAATGATGTGATATGGATGTAGAGAAACGAGATATATTATGAGCATAATTGAACTTTCTTCATCAAGTGTATTCACTATAACATTATAACAGCTTTAGTCAAAATATGGAAAATGATGGAAGTATAATTTCATTATAAAGAATTTTAAAAAATTATGTTCAAGTATAGTTCCTGAAATTCCTAGTTTTTTTTTTCAATCTGTTAATTTTTTTGTGTCTGCGCGCCATATCGTCTTCTTGTTTCATAATAATTGCAGTGTTTAGATCGCTTTCGCAACTTTCATTCTTCTTTGTTTATTGCATGGCAAAAAGAGTGTGACCCATTTGGAAGTGGGATACAAAGTTTTCACTGTCCGAATTCAACACTCCCTTCTCAACTCAATGGTATAAAACATTTTCATTCTAGTAGGGCAAAGTGACAATTTTCCACGGAAACTGAGGTTGAGGTGAACATTCTGAAATATGGCGATTTGTTTAGGAAAAAATCAGTTGCACTACTAAAAGAAATCAATATTTGCATACATTACAGAATTTCATGATATGTGAACAAATAAGAGCGGCAGGCGAATTATTATACCGTGAGCAAAAATCTAATATTTTCCCGTGTATATAATTACAGGAAAAAGGACGAATCAACATTGGGAAGATTAGACATTATATTAAAATCAGAAGTTTTCAACAGTAATGACACCTCCGTTGTAGGAATCTTTTTGCAGGCATCTTTATCATTCTCTTGAAATAATCGAATATTTGTCAGTATATTTAATTTTGTGATTTGATTCTGAAAAATTGCGAAGTTAGTGGTTGTTCAGTAATTCACGTAACCGCGAAGTCGAATAGAAGATAAAAGGACTTGCAGTTGTTTCTCGAAGATGGTGTTATTGGCTTATTTTTCGAAATATATATCCGGGAAAAAAGTATTCCTTTTTTCCCGTGGGAAAGTAATTTATGAAAAGTGACACATTTTTTCCGTCACAGTAAAAACAATATAATTAACTAAATATATTGGAAATGTGACACATGTGTGTTCTTGGTGCACATACTGAGCGCCGTCTCAAATGAGTGTAAATACCTACAATTCATTGAAAATAAGTATACATATGAAGACTCACAGGATGACAAAAAATCACTTCTTTTATGTTTGTTCACAAATTCACATGCAACAGGATTTGACACCACAATTTTCATGGAATTTGGTACACGCCTATTTGAAACGCAAAACTGCGTCCTTTGTATGTCGTACTCCAAAACAACACGTGTTACGTTAATATTTTAAGAAGGGAGGGGGTGTGTTTCGCTTACAAGTGAGTCACACTGAGAGACAAATGATAAAAATAAAGCTCCAAGCTTGAAGTTGTTAGTATAGGCACCCTCTGGAGTCTGGTTAATAAATCGAACTAAATCCCCACCTCAATAGCTGAGTTCTTCGAGCAGACTTACTCTGTCGCCTGAGCAAATGGCATGCCTATAAATGACGGGCTGAGAGTTTCTGTATACATTTCCATTCCTGTGCCGCGTAAATAGTCATTGGTACACACTTGCATATCTGGAGACTAAAATACAATGTTAAAAAACGAAACAAAAATTGAGAAGCCGGTGCCCTTCTGCTGTTGATCTAATAGCATGAGTAAATAATTATAACAGGTGATACAGTTGACACGATATATTGTCTCGCTATTCAATAATTCTTGTTACTGTAAAATTCGAAATTATTTGTTCCAAATTAGACTATAAAGATTTAATAACATGTAGAAATCATTTACAAAGGCATTAGCAGCACCTTAACAAAAACTGTAAACTACATAATATAAATGGAATGATCTTCAGAATCACCAGATAATTATGTTCATATTATGAGCCTACTTGATAACTGACCAATCATCGTATTGTGCTTGCTTTGTTATGGGTGTGGTTCAAGGCACCAGAATATATCTGACTGAATGTCATCACGTATGCTCACAAAAGATATCTTGATTCAAGAACACCGTACGTTATACAGGGTTTTCAAAGGTAAATCGGCACTGCTTACTTGGTTATCATTGGGTTTACAAAGTCAGTGAAATTTATGAAAACGAAACAAAAATCTAACATCGCGTTCACGAGTTATGTCAAAAAGGTCAATTTCTTCAAATGGGACACCCAGTATACAATATTCGTAATCGATATCAAATTTGATTCTGAATAAGAACTGTCTTGTAAACTCTTATCCTAGATTCAAATAAGAGTATGTTTGGATTCATACAGCATCAAGTAACAATTATTATTGACAATTATCAAGTGAGGAGTTGGAGTAGCTAAAATATTGCTATATGACAAGAGGAGCCAAGATTAAAAATAATTGGAATAATGAAAAGTAAAAAGAAACATGAAAAAACCGGGAAACGTTTCGAGGTTAGTTTCATAGTTTCCATCATAGGATGCTCGGTCATCAGCATACTAATTGCACACCTTGTTCAATTAATGTAAAAAGTTAAAAGGTTACCAACCTTCTACTTGTTATTCGATAAATGAAATTTATTAATTGTCTGCATAAACACACAGTGATTGAAAACAGCAAATTCAACTCATAATTGATAATTGTTATTTTTTGATAATTGTTAATTTTTGTTTTGTTTTTTGTTTTTTGTTTGTTCTATCCGTCATTCGGTTGCCCCCTTACGAGCAACCCTCAAAAGTCTTCGAAAGTCTTGTGCGAGCAAGGAATGACGCATAAATCCAGACTAAGCTTTCGTCGATGCTTTTTCACTTAAAAACTTAATACCTCGACCATCCCGACTAACACAATCACTTTGGCAAATTTGAAAAATCATCGATAACTCAGTCATTTTTAAACCTAGAATAAAATATTATGAAACAGTTTTTGTTCAGAATCGAATTTCCTATCGATTGAGAATATTGTATACCTACTGGGTGTCCCATTTGAAAAATGTAATCTTTTGACATAACTCGTGAACGCGATGTTCGATTCTTCTTTCAATTTCATCATCGAATTCTGTGGAAAAAATAATATTACTAGTTTATCCATTTAACTAACATTGTAGCTCCAATGAAAAACAATAAGTTAGCAATAGTGCCGACTCAAGTTTGAAAACCCTGTATATTTTTAACTTGATTAAAACTAAGTTATAGGACTTAATGTTTCCTGAAGAACGTTTGATGTTTAGATCATATTCTCAATATAGAAATTGAAACCAGTAAATAAAACGAACGATCACCAACGCCTACTCACACAGCACATGACATCCATTGGACGTCCATTTTAGGTCCATCTCAATTCCAAACGTCCATGGACATTGAATGGACATCCAATGTACGTACAAACATTAATTATCATTGGATGCTGTGAATTGTATGTACAGTGAACGTCCACTCAATGTCCAACCACCTATGTACGTAGAATGTACATTCATTGTACGTATAAAGATGGATGTACAATGTATGTTCCAAAATTAACGTCCATTGGACATCCGTCATCTCACGGACTAAAACTCTCATGGACGTTTGATCAACAGCCATCGTACGTACAGAGACGGACGTACATCATTGGACGTCCATTTAACGGCCATTCTGAGTTAAAGCATTCATGGATGAAGAATTAACATTAATCATGAGTATATGAAGAATTGTTCAAAGTAAATATCTATTTGGAATCATTTTAATTCTGAAGGTTTATGGACGTTAAATGAACGTCCGTTGTACGTTCAGAGATGGACGTAAGACTATTGATTTTTCAGCCACGTGGAGGGGAGGCAGAAGGTCAGATCGGTCGGTAGACAAGCGGTAGCGTCTGGCGTGATGCTGACGCCATTTTTAGTTAGTGAATGACCGTGAACATGACGTGTTGTTTTTGTGATGAATTGTGGAATGCAGAATGTTTAGGACCAGATCATTCGAAGTAGGTATGAAAGCATGCATGTTATTCGAATGTGACTTCATATATCTAATATAGTTATCAGTTATTACCTTATGCTTTCTCATCCTACAGGTTGTTATTTATTTTCAATGGGCGGCTGAACAGGATTTGGGGTATGGACAATCGACTTCTACCTATATAGCAACTTATAATTTTTTTTTCTTACAGAAACAAGAATTCAAAGTGGACTGAAGAAGACATGAATCAACGATATATTCATATTTATGTAATCGTCACCAAATATTTATATCTAAATAGAAGAACTTATATTTACTACCTACTGTTTCTTTATTTGATTTCCAAAGATCCATTATACGCCCACAAATAAACATCCACTGTACGTCCAGAGGGGTGTCCTCAGGACATCATCCAATGGACGTCCATTGGACGTTTAACGTCCAATTTGGTACGTTCAATGGATGCTCAGATATCGACATCCATTGTGAGTCCAAATATGAACATCCATTGTACATCCGAATATAGATATCCACTGGACGTCCAAAGTGGTGTCCTCAGGACATCCAGTGGACGTTCATTGGGCATTGAACGTCCACTCAAGTACGTCCATTGGACGTCCTCACGATCCGAAGTGGACGTACATTGGACATACATGTGCTGTGTGGGCTACTGAGTACTAATGTTGTATTGTGGAACCCTTCGACAGGCATGAATTGAATTAATTTTGTATCTATTCATTCGTTCGCCAAATGTGTTATTATTCTGTAATCACCATCTGTTTAGTTACTCACGCAACTAGTTGTCATACCACAATGTGAAACGTCTGAAGTGACTTACCGTTTTGAATGACCTCATGGCGAACAAGTTGGCCATCATAGTGGAAAATCCCGGTGCTAGGCAGGATTGCGCTATAAAACCTAATTTCAGTTCTGCTAAGCATATCACATCGTCCCCCTGCTTCCAGTCCCAGGATGGAATATTCAGCAAATACGCCTGGAAATAAATTCGTCCGGATTATTATATTTTAGGTGACAATTTGAAAACGAGCAGCAATCAATTTTTCTTTAGCTGATGACACTATGAAAATTATTTGGCGAAACATGTCATTTTACATATCAAGGAGGACAGTTTTTGAAGTTTTTGTTGTTATATTATACTCAACCCCTTCACCGTCAGGGCACCTACCCCTATAATTTTAAATTGGAACCTTCACTCATTTTTCAATTTTCAAAACCTTATGTGATTTCAGATGTTACATCTATATATGTACTGAACTGTACTGAACTGTCAGTTCTTATACTCAGGAAAATTTAACATAGTCTCGAATGTTTTGGTCGCGGACTATTTAGACCATCTTGAACAATTCATAAAGTGATCAGTTAGGTCTGTTTATCAATTTTATCATCATAATAAATGACAATCCAATAATTTAGGAGGTAGGCATTTTTGGAGAAAGATATATTTCGCTGTCCGATTTTAGTACTACTCAGTGATGTTTTAGCATGACATTCTTTTTTTTCCCATAGTGAAATGTTCATGGTCGATATTATTTAATAGATATTTGTGTTTGTGAATATGTGTTTTTACGGAACGTTTGTCTTACATCGCATGTGTTTGCTTGTGAAAAAAATAAATTGCTAGAGAAGGTTGGTTCTTTTCCATATATTTCAGAATTCGTTTCTGTACTGTTTCCAACTTTTTCAGGTGAGTAGCAGCAACTTTTCCCCAGCTCAATATTGAATACGAGATTCCACAAGAGCGAAATAAATGATTTTCAAGTGGTGAGTGTCAAGTAATTTACTCAAATATTTGAATTTGAAGAGCATACTTCTTATGGTTTTTGGTAACATTCTAAATGTGAACGTACCATCTCATATGACTGTCCATCGTTATACTTGAATATTTAATGTTTTCTGTTCTGTAAATATCAATAACCTACTCGTTGTTATGTATATTGAGGGTCTTGAAATTTGGTAAATGATTTCTGTAAATTGTAAAAGTCATAAATAGTTTTTTCAAATAAATTGTTTCCTATGGTATAGATAACATTCTAGGAGATAATGTGTTTTTTCCTCTAATTCCAATGCGTTCCAAGGTTTCGACTATAGCTGTGTCGTATGGCTCATAGTTTTGAAAGCCTCGGAGAGATCTAAAAATATACACACACTAGATCTAGATCTATAACATTAAACATGAAATTGACGATGGACCAAAATTAGATAAGTTGACCTGTCGACATATGACTGTGTCATTGCTTTCAATCCACGATGTCTACCAGTTAACTGAGACAATATAAGAGCAAACATGCCAGAGAGCGAAGAACAGGTAGAGGGGGTTGTTGATGCTATGATATAGACATCGTCGTCACACTTCTTCAAAATTCAAACCAAAGAATATTATAAACGTATAGCGTTAAAATATTCTCTGACCACACTACGTGAGTATACACTTGTATACTACGGTTTCTATCTAAGTGGCTTCTAAGGTTGGTAGAACTGATGATATTTGTGGAGCTGTAGAGGAAGTTATTGCCTTGATCAGAAAACGCGGTAAAGAGATTAGTAATTTGTGATGTTAATCTTTGGAAATATAATAGAATATAAAATATGATTCCATAACTCTAAAGTACATTTTCGAAGGAATGACATGAATGACTACTTTCTCCCCAGAGTGTTTTCAGATCGGGGAAACTGCCTGTGCGAATAATCATTATTCCAATCAACCTTGGGTCCTACTTTATTCACTGCTATAGATATTCGTAATGAAACAAACCATAAATGGAATACAGGACAAGTGTTCGCAAAATTGCAAACTTCTCAAGGAGTCAATGAAAGTATCAATGTCAATGCAACTGTAGCTGTCGAAGTGTATCTTGATTTTTACAAATTTAATATACCTTATTGTGATATTGCATCAACTGGATGATGACTCTGATATCATCACTGTAGTTCTTGATTGATATGACACGCATGATGTTAGCTGCATCTTCGGCATCAGGATCTTGGCAGTACTTATTAGCAAGAACCAAACAGGCGTCAGCTTCATGAACCTTAAAAATCAAAATCGAGAGTGACATTTTCTGGAATAAAAATGTTTTCTTCACCAGTGGTGTTGAATATATTGGGAAGTATTGGAATGAATAACTGATTGATTATTTGAAAATATTCCTACATGAAATTCAGGATTCTGTGCTATTGAATAATCTTTGTATTCTGTATTAGAAAGTATAAATTCCTACGTTTGAAATAAATTGGGGAAACCATCTCGTAAATTGAGCAGTGTAGAAAAAAACTAATTATAGCAAGCTGTGACGTGTACCAAGTTCAAACAATTGAAAATACTATAATGATACCACTTATACCTAAGAAGAATATTTAAGTCTTCCCAACATTTGCAAATGATATTTCTATGTATAGATTCTCTAGATTTGAGCATGAAAGTAAAATTACTTCCAAAACATCAGCTGAAAATTAATAATCCTAATATGATTTTCCTCAAGTTAATATGTTTCTGTAATCTTCGAATTTTTGTTTTATGATTTTTCAGAAATGACACTTTTATAGCAGCTTGTTTCGAATAAAATATCCATTATTGAATAAAACATAGGAGTATTATAGAGTAGGTAAATAAATTTTGAATCTATGTCAATATCGAATGTTTTTGAAAAAATTAATATTTAATAATTCTTAATAGCTATACAATTTCTAGCATTAAGATACAGATTCAAAGTACCTACCGACCTTCAATTTTTCTTGTCGTCACAATAAATTTCATAGGTATGGACTATAATATACAATAATGGATACTTTGTGAACTATTGTGCGGAATATTTGTTACCGGGTTAACACAGCATGAGGGGAAAAGTGATGCTTTGTTCATTGGTGAATATATCCTCATAAATACCTAATTTTTATTTTTTGTTCTGAATATCGATTGAGTACATGTGACAACTTGTTAATTTTGGAATCAATCAATAACTGGCTATTTGAAGTTGAATTCACCTGAATAAATTGGTCATATTGTATGTCTTAATCATAAAATCAGTGAATATTCTTATAATCTAGGTCCGTTTGGAAAAATAACTTCTCCACCTATTGCTGTGTCACCCACAAAGGTATTGGTGTCTTCATATACAGGGTGATTCATGACTAACCAGCCATAGCCTGAAGGAGGATATAGGAAGTCAAGGTGAGTTGATATATTTGTGACAAAATATATTTTGCCTATTCGTAACAAAAATACAGGGCATTATTTGAATTCGGGGCGTAACTTCGATGAACGATATTTCAGCAATGTCTCCATGTTATCGCCTGAAATTTACCAGCAACTTACCTCTACTGACACTTCATAAGATTGCCTATTATGGTAAAAAAAAATCAGAAAGATCAGGAAAAACACTAGAAGTGTAGTTTCTCATTTTGTACGGCACACTTCGATCAAATTGTTGAACAAATATCGAACAAAATACCGACGAACTTTTCCATGACTTCATACGGGCATATTGTAGTCACATCGTCCAACAAATTCATCTGAATCCAATTATTTCATCAATATATCATAAGAGTTCGAAAGAGGCTCTATTTGATGAACAATTCCAGGACCGGACTTGCTTCTGGAAGAGACCTTCCAAAACATGAACGAAAATAATTCCCAATTGACATCTGCTTCTACATGATTGTGAATAGGATAGAGAAACTTTTAAAGAACTATTGAATATGATCCCATTGCATGTTAACTCTCAATTAGCGAATTAAATTGTGAGTTTGGTGTATTCACGATTCAGAAAGTACTGAAAGAAAGGTTGTGATAATTACAGATTCGGATATGATCAGAAATAATAGTCAAATTATTCGAAAAAACCATGATGAGATCTCTCGCAGGGATGCAAAAATTGTAAAAAATTGGAGGACATTTTGAGAATCTTCGTTGTGAAATATTGAGATACAGACTAATCATTTTCGAAAATTCTAATGTTTTGTAATTTTTTGCAAAAATCGAGTTCTGCCTGAATTTTATATTGATAAATCAACTCCTACACGGAAAGCGCTATTTGACGACGTGAGTCATATTGACATCGAAAATAAAAGATGCACCTTTTTTATCGCTGAAAAACTGCCTCCTCTCTTGATCTAGTAGCTATTTGCGCCTGATGTCACTCCAATTTCTGTCGTGTCAAGTTTGATTGATGGGTATGGCTCACGCGTAAATTAGGAAAATTTCGTCGGAGGAAACCACCAAAATATGAGAAAATCAATTCCGCAAACTACAAGTTACCAGGGAATCATCAATAAAGGTTATCATTATTGTTGTTTATCTGTATATTGTCGTTGATTTATTTTGACAAAAACACTCGAACTTTTTTTTAATTGGATAGATTTTCTTACTAACTAAAGTTGCTCGACCTACGGTGTCGCAACTTTTTCATGTCAGTTTTTCTCATAAAATTACTGATCGGCAAATTTAATGTTTCTCGTTACCAAGAGAAACTTATCCGATGAAAAAAGCTCTTGTATTTTTACTGTTGATAAAAACCTATGCTCAACTTTGCTGCTATATCAATATGCAAAAAAAAAATTTTAATACTTGGAATGTTAGAGTGTAATGTGCCCGGACGAATTCGAAGAAACATTCATCAGTATTTTGTTCGAAATGTTTTTAACCAAATCGATCGAAGTGTGCCGTACAAATTGAAAAACTGCACTTGTAGTGTTTTTCATGATCTATGATTGATGAGATCCATCAGAAAGTCAAAATTATGACGTTTATAAAGAAAATGAATTTGCCAAGTCCGGCTCTTTAAATTTTTTTCCATAGTAGGCCATCTTATGGAGTGTCAGTAGAGGTAAAAGTTGCTGGTGAATTTCAGGCGATACCATCAAGACATTCCTGAAATATCGTTCATCAAACTTTCGCCTCGAATTCAAATTCAGAATATAGTTCTTCACATATAAGTATATCAACACACTTTGACTTTCTCTATCCGCCATTAGGCTATGGGTGGTTAGTCATGACTCACCCTGTATATTATGTATTTCATTGATAGTAGGTATTTCGAACTGATTACGGAACCTTGACTATCGGATGACATGCACTAATTCCAAAATAAGGGTAAATATATCATTCCGTTGAAAATAAATGAATAATAATTCCAAAAACTAAATTCCTACGCTAAATATTCCGAAAACGTATCAACATGCAATTCATAAATGTAATCGTTATGGCTCAACTACTGAGAGCAACTTACCAAATCTTGGAGCTCAACTCAGTTACGAATTATGATATTGAGGAATTATAAAGGAATTGAGTTGTAATTATGGGTGATGAATCTGTACTTATGTTAACTATGGATATATGATGATAGATATTCTGAGAGGTTGAGATGTGCCTAATAATGAGTAAATTATGACTGATAATGTTCGTGAATACCGTGCCTGAGGAAACATACATATCTTACTATCTACCATTAATTTTTCAAATTGCTAAAACTTCTGAATTAATAATCCAAAAAAAAATTAATTCCTACGATTTCATCAATTGAAATGTCAGTCTATTTTTTCTATATAAATCATCTTATGAGGAATTCCTATCATGTGGTATGTTGGGATTTTTATCATTATTTTTTGTGAAAAAACTGGTAGAGGCCTAGTTGGGCTCATGGACAATTTTATTTCTGATCGGGCTTATATATCGTCATAGTTACGCTTTCAATAAAGATGGTCATGACTCCCTTGGGACATTATAGATTCTATACGGGCGCAAACTTTGCTATCGGTAAGTAAGGTCCTTTCAAGGATGTTTCTCTTTCCTTTCGGGATCCGGAAGGTGCCTTCGATAATACTTCTTCTGCGAGCGAATGCGTCCATGATGTAAAATAATGAGACGATGAGGTTTGTAAACTTTTGGCTTTCTTGTTCAATACCATTGATACCAAGCACTCTCTTCAAGTGTCACCACCCGAATAACGCAGATTCACAGATTCTTATGGAATTGACAGAAAAATGCCTGTTCATTTTTCTCTGGAAGTGTCATAAGAGTATACTTAGTGCAGATAGCTTTTACGAGAAACACTATAGTGTCACTATTTTATTCTCTCAAAATTACGACTAAGCAAATATATACATGGCCAGCGTAGCCTCGTGGTAGAAGTTTCAGTTTGTATACACTTCAGATGATCGGTTAGGTGGGTTCGATTTCCACCACGACCGCAGACATTTTTCTGATGGCCTAAGAAAGTGTTTGGGATCACACGTTAAAAGGTAAGACCCCCTTCATTCCTTGCTTACACAAGTCTCTTGAAGACTTTTGAGGGTTGCTCGTAAGGGGGCAACCGAATGATGGATAAGAACAATATACGTCTTTGGCGTTTATGAGATTGGATCGTGCAATCTCCAATAAGGTATTATTTTCAATAATATCGTAACGTCACGGTGAGTTACAATCATCGACAGCAACATATAATTTCATGAATTTATTTTGAATCGTGACCGACCGTTTCAGTAAATCAGTATTCATACATATACATATAACATATTTTCGGTTGTTTCAATGAATTATACAGAAACGTGAACCAAAACACCACAATATAATGTTTGGAAATCTTATTTCGGTAGGTATAGTATAGTAGGGTTCTGTCGTCCTCAATAGAAACATAATGAGACAATGTAGACAAATAAATATGAATAGGAGTCAAGTCATAATTTTTGTCGGGTAATCAACCGAAAAGATACATATAATGATGAAGATGGAAAGCCCTAATTTTGAGTGACAATGAAAAGTGAAAAAACTCCACCGCCCCGTGTGAGAGTCGAACTCACAACCTCTGGATTACATGTCCAACGCTCTGCCAATTGAGCGAACGGGTCATCCGTCGATCAATCGGCAGGGAGGTCGAGTTCTCATCCCGGAGTCACTCGATTATTTCGTGAATAAAAAATACCATCCAGAATCACTTCTGAATATTGAATTGAAAAGCATTTGGAAATTCATAATGCAGAGCAGATAATTTGAAATGAAGATCAAAGCTCTAGAACGACGAATGTCGGTACTACTATGGGCCATGGCGAATTGTTTACATTGTTTGGTAATGGTGGTTATGTAAATTTCGTTATGAGTTTTCAAACTTTCAGCTTCGTCATTTGTGTATTTTTGAATTTCTTATTTCCAGTGGTTTATTGTGTATCGATTGAGAACAATATTATCTTTGTATAACAGTATATCTACTAGTTACTCAGTTTTGGACAAAGGTGTATAAAGCACTTTCGACTTGGAATTGTTCAAGGAATATATCCTCAAGATATGGACATCGAGTCACGGGACACTATAGAGGGAGTTAACTTATATATCTAGGTCTGCTGACCTCGGTGGCCAAAGACTGGACGAAGACTTTCAATTTGGAATTGTTCTACGAATATGCCCTCAAGTATGACAACGGGACACCCTGTATATACCAACACACAAGCAGTAAGTTTTCATCATTAACTGATAAGAATTCTCATGATTGAACCTTCCACAGAGAAAGAAGTTGCTATCTTCGTTATAGTTTGAAATAACCCTATCAAACCTAGTTTGGTTAAATTCGTTATGGTAATACCTAACCGATTATATATGGAATGAAATACAGGGTGTCTCATTTAAAAATCGAAAGTTGTGGTCATTTCCGGTCAAACTGGAAGTACGGTAAAGCAAGTAGATATGTCTAAGATGTTAATTGAACTTTAATTCAATTTCGTTTCAGTACATGCAATAATAAAAAGGTTAAAGGGGTGAGCCATCTTGGAGAATCACCCGGTAAAGTGGATCCGAACCATTTCTAGAGCGCCTAGATTGACTGTATAAGAAAATACTATTTCCAGCTAGCCAGATTTAAGAGTAGCCTCAAAAATAAAACGCTTAGACCGACCCCACGGTCATGATCCCAATTTAGGTATAATCTCAGTACCATTTTGTATCCCTCTATTTTTTATCAAAGAGTCATTTTTAGCTGTATTGCTCTATACTTTCCACCAATATAAGATGAATGGAATGTATCGATTGTGCATAGGTTGTTTTTATTTTTGAATAGGTACTTATGATCACAACTCATTTATTGAACTAAAAACTGATGATTTATTCGAAAACGAAACATATTGAGTTAGCAGAGATTAGAAGGATTTATTCATGAAATTTCGCAGATTGTGGAGAATAATAATATAATAATTATAAGGTACAGTTGCCATCAGGTCAGGAAAACTATTGAGTAGGTACTATACTTCAATTCCATCACAAATGTTGATAGTGTTATTTTTGATCGTCGAAATTTCGAATAAGTAGGTAATTCTGGGTTACTACCTATTGTAAGTTACATGCCACTTTGGAAACGAGAGTTTGAGAAGACGGAATACCATTTCCAATCAAGTATTATAGGTGCATTCGTCAAAGGTATACCTATGTCATCAAAATCTTCATATGTTTCCCTAACAAAGACTCAATTACCTGGCAAAAAACGACTGAATTTCAAGAAACTAATTGCATATTTGCAATTACTTTATATTTTTCAATTCACATGATATTTTTCAGAATATTTTCCTTCAAGACTATCATATTATACCTACCTGTCTTCAATTTAATGTATATGATATGCATTTAATAATGATAAATGATAATGAAAGTTCGTTGCATGTCTCAAAAGAGTGTAGGAAAAGAATGGAGATTGGATGCCACTTAAAAACTTGAATGACGTGATATGAATTTGAAACAATCACAATACATATATTATTCACGTTTTCTAACAGAATTACTACTGTTAATTTGATATTTATTCATAGAGTGATGACGTTTAAAACTTACCTTAACCCTTTGAAGATCTATAGGGTTCATGATGGTACCTTGGAAGAATTCTACAGTTGTGAAATGTCTTTTGAAGAGACCCTCCAGTTCAAGATCCGGTGGTTTCCTGCACATTCCAATAATTACAATACAAGCATATTCATTGAAGCTTGAAAAATTCGAAACCCGGGACAAGTCGCTCTGTCAACCAATAATACCATGCAGTCAAAATGCATCTTACTATTGAAACTACTTTGGTTACAACGCAAGTTCTTGTGTAATATATAATTGGATGTTGCGATATTGAGATAAATAATTAGTGCATAAAATATAATGAAAACTTGCGGAGTATTTTATTGTTTATGCGAACGAAGCAAATTAACAACGACCCAAATAAAACCATTATTGAAATTTGGAAATCCTCAATATGGTACCTTGACTCTTTCAAGGTCTACTGCGTTCATCATGGTCCCCTGAAAAAACTCCACAGTTGTGTAGTGCCGTTTCAGTAGACCCTCTAGTTCCAAATCCGGCTCTTTTCTAAAAACCATAGTTGAAACAGTGCCAATATTAAAAATTTTCGACCAAATTAGTTCTAAAATAAAACTTGAAAGTTGCGAAGAGATAGATAATAAATAATGTACTATATACACACTGATTCCACCACTAACCAAACCGATTTTTTATACATTGATACGTGTTTCGTCGATATCGCCGATCGGCAGTAAAGGTTTCGGCATCTTCAAGAGAAGATTAAAACTAAATGTTCTATCCTAGTGGTTTATGTCCATATAATGTAATATAATAGCTCTAAGCTTCCATATGCATCTAATTTCCTAACATCATTAACTTGCCTAACTAATTTGAGGTAATTAATATGTGTGTTATGATTGTGATTGAACATGTGTTCGGCTACACACGATTTATCTAACCTACCATATTTCAAATGCGCTAGGTGTTCTTTGAACCTCGTTTTTATGGGACGGCTGGTTTGGCCTATATATGTTTCATCACAATCATTACAACTAAATTCGTATATTGTGATAAAACATATATAGGCCAAACCAGGCGTCCCATAGAAACAAGGTTCAAAGAACACTTAGCACATTTGAAATATGGTAGGTTAGATAAATCGTGTGTAGCCGATCACATGTTCAATCACAATCATAACAAACATATTAATTACCTCAAATTAGTTAAGCAAGTTGGTAATATATGTTGGGAAATTAGATGCATATGAAAGCTCAGAGATATTCAAGAATAATAGTAATAGAGTAATGAATAAGGATAATGGACCTATCCCATTTAGCCCTCTATATAGTTTAGTGATATAAGACCAAGGATAACATGTGAACTCAACCATGACTAACATCAACTTGGCTGTTATTGTATTTCATGGTTGGGTGGACATATACCTAGTTCATAAGTAGCCCAATAGGATAGAACATTCAGTTTTAATCTTGCCCTGAAGATGCTAACATAGTAAGCGAAACACGTGTCAAGGTGTAAAAAATCGCTTTGCTTAGTAGTAAAACAGTGTGTAGTGTATTATCGTGTCAAAGGTCGAAGTCTTCGATATAATATATAATAAATAATGTTTTAATATAAACCTGCAATATGGAAAATAAGATCAGAAATGCTGACATTTTTCCGTGCTATCATTCCCTCCATCTCTCGTCAAATCATCATTGGAATATACAGTATGCGCCGCTTCAAGTGTAACCAACCTCGCATTTTGGAGTAGAATTAAGTAATCATATTTTCTACACTCACCGGCAAAAAGACCGACTAAGAAAAAATTTACCGCTGTAACTTTTTTCAATTCTTGTCCGATTTTGGTGGAATTTTCTACCAAATCGTAGACTCATATTTCAGAATTTTAGATTGGATTTTAGTTTCGAAGAAAACCTGGTAGCTTGATCAATATACAGGGAAAAACAAAAGATATAGTCCTTCACCCTCCATTTATTAATGCCCTGTGGTAGAAGTGAGTGGTTGAATTCAGCTCCATTCAGGGGCTTCATTTCATTGAATAAAAGGTGGGTTCAAGAAACTCAGACAAAATGTTTGGACGGTGAAAATGCGCCACAGGCGAATATTTCAAGCTCAAATGCCTTCAGACTGAAAATTAGATTTTTTGCAGAGTCATAACAACTCTATTTCATAAGAAGAGGTCAAGAAAGTCCGAAATGATTCGTGTATGGAGCGCCGCAGGCGGAATTTTGGTTAGGATTCAGTGTCACATGCCTTCGAATTGAAAATTAGATTTCTTCCAGAGTAACGACAACACCATCACATTTTTATATAACAAATTATTCAGTTTCCTTCTCAGTTCTTTGTATGATAGATATAAAATGATCTGAAAATGAGAACAATAAGAAGAGCAAATGAAGAGTATTTCAAATAGTCTCGTCTGTAGGTTAACCAAGCAGGTGGATGGTCTCCAGATTTTTCGAGATTTTCTTCCATAGTTTCCTCAAATGAGAATATCTCAATGGGGATACTGGTTGAGTAGTATGCTCAATATTTTTATCAAGCGAGGGATATTGACTCAACAACTATCGCTCATAACAGCAAATAAATTTAGTCTATTGTAAACAATTTTGTGATTGTTTTTTCGTTGATATTGTCAAATTCCTGAGGGCGCCAATATAATTTTGGAGAATTCTTCATCAATTTGGTTTTTTATTCAGGTAAATTTTATGTATGATGTCTACTATTATACTGAATGAGTAGAATCAGTTCTTTGGAGAATCAGGAGAGGGGGAAGGGGGCAAATTGGAACGAGCGTCATCTAGGAAAAGAAACACTTCAAAAAAACATTTGAAAAAACAAAATCTCATGTTGATTAGAAATGGGAGTGGCTGATTGCCCGACTAACGTTATTTAAACTACGAAAAAGTAAAAAGTCTCGAATTTCAACTAAATATAGAGGCATAATACTGTACTCATTATTTGCACTAGAAATCTTTCTCCTTTGTAACTAGAGCAACCTGCTTAGTTGTAATGAAATCAAAATCATACTTAGGTAATCATATTAACGTACAAGAGATATGCCTCCAGTATTGATTTAGTTCTCAGATGTACTAATAGCGTTATCTGTCGTTGTTTGTTGTATCAAATATGACTTGAAAATGGGATCATAGGTATCATAATAATATATCAAGAACGTGACCGTTTCTTCATAACATGCAATATGTGATGCGAAATTACTGGAATATTGCATGTTTACCATCAGTTGATAATTAGACCGGTAATTTGAAAGTGAAAGAAGATTCAATCTGGCTAGTCTTACCTGTGCAAGAACACCACTTCAACATCAACATCTTCCCTGTCCTCGTGCAGGAAATCCTTCAGGAAGTGGGAGACTGATTCATAAGTAATGTGTCCGCATACGACAATATGCCTACACAAAAAAAATTTTAGTATTTCTTCATTGATTTGTTCATCATGAAAGTACAAAAACTAAGCATGGTTGATTGAACAGCAAATGTTATATCCATAAATGCCAGTGCTTTACTCATTGGATGTTCGGGAGACAGTGAAAGGGTTTTATAGTTGAATATTTATTATTATAGCATTTGTTGTATTTTATTAAAGGTTTCTTCACATCCTTATTCATTACCTTCCCTAGAACGTAAGGGACAACTGAAACCTATACTATATGTTCTTCAAATAAAAATATTGTGTATAGTTCTGGATGACATTCATTGAGATTCAATTTTGATACAATATATCATATGAAACTAATGAAATGATCATTCGGAAAGGTTGAATTATCAAATATTTTATATTTCCTTTATTCAGTTCGAACCATTCTGATTTCTTAATTCCACAATAGTACATATACCGTGAGTTGGTATATCACTGGCATTTCTGAAATTTGAATGTGCAAAACAGCGTGACAATTTTGATGCTTTCCCATCATATAATGAAATATAAATGCATACAATAATCAGTAGTTTCCATGAAGGTTTTCAAATAAGAAATAAACAGCATACCATTTATTTTTGCATCATTGTTGTTAAATACCTACCTATGCTCAGTTTTTGCTATATACTTATTCGAAATCAATAGTATTGTGAATATTTTTTGAGGAGCTGCCAATATAATCAGTCACACGAGAATAGTAATATCATCCCTGCTGGATTTCATAATTGAAAAGAGTTTGTGTTTTTGAAAAAAAAATCGACAACTTCTCACAAATGAATAGCCAATAACTCTCTCTTATATAGTTTCGTATCTAGTACCTAATTGTTGAGTAGTGTTGAAAATATTGAATAGGATATTGTTTTCCAATTCCCTACTTGCTGAGATGCTAGTTTGCGAACAACTGCAAATATTTCCAATGTGAAGAACCAAGGATGACTTGATGACAACCACTTAATGGATAAATGGACATTATATATTATAAAGCTCTCTGAATAGCATACTGACTTTCATTTATACTCAGATATTGAAAAATATAGATTCATGTCATAGTACTGCATATATTCTTTAACGGTGAAAATTATAGAGTACACGATACTATTTATAGTGTATAGTGTTCTTCAGAATCACAAACGCAAAATCCGTAATTGGAATGGCAAAAATCTCTTCCCAAAATATAGGGAAACATGCAGCTATCAGATTAGACGAGGCCTCAACAGTTGGCAAGTCCATTCATTTTGATTCAATCCAATCAATTTGTGATCAAGTCACAATAGACTTCGTCTGGAATAATGATCATTGAAGCGTTCTCAAAATATGCAACTTGTGAGTGATCAACTATCTAAAAGTTTCTACGGATACCAATCCTCACGAATAACAATGGTCAACTCTTTTGATATCAAATGAATGCATAGGGTGTATACACCAATCTTCAAAATAACATGATCTTATGATCTAGTTCCAATTGAAAGTGCTAATGGCATGTGCTCATGATCATTGCTTCATTTGAACAATCTGAATTCAATGCAAGTCCGAACCCAACAAAATTTATACCGTTGATTGATATATTACGCTTACCCAGCGTAAGCGTAATATATCAATCAACGTTTATACTGTCGAATTTGAGAGGAAGAAACATGATTGCTATTATAAAAATATATATTTATCAGGTATCATTATCAAACTTCACTAATAACGATAGGAAAAATAAGAGAGAGTTATTGAATAATTGTGTAATTAGGTGTAATTCAAACTTATTAAGATTCATTGAAACAGAAATCATGCAGTTAGTTAGTATCTGAAGCTGCCAAAAACATATAGTGTCCGCAAGAAATTATGCAACAAATAGAGAACTTTTCTCAATTTCTGCTTGAAATTGGTTTAAATAATATTCTTATATATTCGATATATTTTTTTATTCGTAATACTATGGATTGTCTTCTAGATGTATTTCTTTTTTGATCAATGCGTTTATGATACATCCAAACAATACATCAATACTATCTGTATATAAATATAGTTTATAGGTATTATACCATTCTAAAAATATTTTGGTTTCATGATGTTCACATTGAATAATCATTTTTAATATTATCATTATTATAGCCTTCAAGAGTTGAGAAACAACTCCAATACCTAACTCATCTCCCCATCCTCCCTTACGTACGATGTTCTTCGAACATTATAGGGATTCCATTTTGTGCGCTCCAAGCGATAAAATAAATCTAAGCTAGATATGAAAGTTTTCTGTTTGTTGCATACATTCGAGTTGGTACACAAGATATAGTAATTATTGCTATGGCGTTTATTGTTCCAGATCGAATAAAGGTGTCTATCATTTTTTCTAAGAGGGATTAAAATACTGAAAGTGCAGACAGACGTATGCTATTCTATTTCTATTATTAAAATGGGCGCCTAGTCACAGCCTGGCCACGCACATCTTGGTGGCGCTAGATGACACATGCCATCTACATGCAAACCACTTACTAACACTCAAGACTTGTTTGCGCAATGGGAACATTAAAAAAACTGTGAGTTGCACATTCCACAAACAAATCAAATTCACAATTAATGTTCTCATAATAACTATATCTCACAAAAACAAAATAATGAATACACAGAAACAACATTTAGAATGTCGGGAAATTATGATAGGAGAAGATCCAGAAGCGTGCAGAGGAAAAGGTAAACAGCAGTAATAGCTTCATGGAGTTCTTAGGGTAATTGAATCATGGAAAATACACCGTTCGAAAATTTTGGTTTATGCAAAATTATACTAATAATTAACTAAAAAGGTGCCTAACACGAAAAGCATAAACATTTCAGGAGCTAGATTTCAATTTTAACCAATAAGGAGAGGGATCTCAAACAGTTTGGACATTTTTGGTATAGGTACTGCTCATCAAGTATGAGTGGAGAACATGGTCATTCCTACTAATTTTCAATCCCAGTATTTTGATACTCTCATAAGAGATGAATTTCCACTGGTATCATTGAGTCGGTTCGTATTCATTAATATGTCGATTTAATCAACATTATTCAATGGATCATCACCTACGCATCAATATGTTGTCATCGATTATCTCAAATGAAATCATACATCCAAAGATTCTTATTTGAAAAATCTGAACGATGCTATTCAATTCGAATTCAAATAACCAATGTTCATCTTAGCAGATGGCAATGCAGGCAATATCTGATGGGAACACAATGGAATGAATCATTTTATCAATAGAAAAAGTATTGTAGCCTTGTTATCCTATTCGAGTTTTATAACCTATAACTTGAACAAATTATTTATCATCACAAAGTTATAAACCTACACGCAATTTTGTTGAAAATAAACCTCAATAATAATCAAAGATTTTTCTGGTTGAATTCATTTTTCCCAATTGAATATTTTCAAAATATCATTGTAGGTACTTGATGATGTATGATTCGTGACTGAAAATGAAATGATCTCCACAGTACATATAAACAGAAACCTTGTTTATATACTTAAAAGTGAACATAAATATTCAGTCTATCAACAGTTTATACGTATCAGTGATACTGATGAGATTATTTAATTGAAACTCTGTCCAAATTACTTGTGATACCTCTTTTTATTCAGTTCTCATCCCATCCGTTTTATCTATGAATGCTAACCAGTTCTAATTTTCTCTGAATTCAAACTGGCCAAATGAACAATTATAATTTCTTAGTACCTCACCTTCGGCCTCTCTCATTCTTCAGTGTGCCACCATATTTTGGTCTAGTTCCGATCAAGTCTATGATCTCAGGAATACAACTAGCGAAAATTGCCTAGAGATGCCGAAAAATAAATCACATAGTTTCGAAAGCATTGAATAACAGAAAAAATATGATTGTATCTTGCTTTTCTAGAGCATCGTCAGTATTACGGTTCCATGAAATTCACAAGGGTAACGATAACAAATTCAGATGAATTTGATTAAATAGACAATCTGATTGATTTGATAGACAATAAAGATCACCTAGACTGATTTTCCATAATTTCAATGCCATCTTCGCACTACACCTGCAATTTGAATGTATAGACAATTTGCTATAAATATATATTAGATATAAGGTTCATCAGTTTGTAGATGAATGAAACTTATTCATTTTTCTATCATTCAAATTACTGATGCTCAAATCATATGGTTAGTAAATCCAATGTTATAGATAAGTACCAAATGAGATTTATTTTGTAATCACCTTCTAGCATGAATAGAAAAATGCTTCCAATTAATAATTTATATTTGCCATGCCCATCAGATAAGTCTCATTTTAATATCAACTGACTCGATTGATTCATGATGTTTCAGCTGCAAGATTCAACCAAATATAACAGAAACAATTGAGACAGACATTTGCTGTAAGCAGGGATGGGGTTGGTTGGTGAGGCGGTATGGAGGGCATTGAAGGACAAGGGCATCGTCTGAAACCAAACAAAAAATATTCACGTAGTTAATAAGTCCAATTGAGGAGCCTTGATGTTCAAAACATACATAATACAATTTCATCATGTTGAATTTCATATTTCACAGTTTGTTTATCCTGCACAATCTTTTTTCCAATTACGGCGTGCGTGGCACTAGCAGGCTGTGCAGGCTCATCTTCGAGGTGCTACTATGGACTACGATGCCAGGCTATTATCTAACTATGCGTAAGTAAACTTTACACCACTCGAAACTCGAAACCGGAATCGTTTTTTTCCATTTCGAAACAACATGACTTTGATCGATTACCATAAGCATGAAGCAGTCACTAAGTAGATGATGCTATTTATCTCTGTTACTGAAAAATACATTCCATTCCAAGAAATTTGGATCGTTGATCAAAAGCTTCCAAATGTTCTCAAACTAATTAGGTATACCACTGGATAGAGTTTAGCCTCAGAGCGATAAAAACATAGGGATGTCTTCTTTTTATACTTGTCATGAAATGCATTTTGTTCATTTGAAGATTTCACCATTGTCATGGGTGTCGTTTCATTTCGTTTCAACTAGTTGTCAAAATTTCAAGCGTTATAGAATTTCTTTGACAAAGAGATACATTTTTTATGTACAGGGTGTCTCCGTTTATTTTGACCACTACCAACAGCTTTAACAATACCTATAGGAGGTGGAAAAAATCTTCATATTATTATTATTATTCTTATATTATCCACTGCATGATTGATTTCTCTCCTCAATCTTTCGAACTCTCTAACAATATTGTGTAAAAACCATTTTTCTACAAGCGTGCGTGATTCACATTATACCCGCACGCAATTTAGTTTGGGAAGTGTCGATCATTTTCCCGCAACATTGCAGGAAAATTTTTCCCACACTAATGCGGGAAATTTTTTCCCGCACTAGTGCGGGTAGAACAAAGATATGATAATATGGTAAAATATAAGTGATAGGTGATGGAATATGAGAGTTTGAGTTTGTTTGTTGGAGTATTAAGTAATGTATGTTCAGAATCATCCATCAAATTGTACTATTTATTGTGAAAATTGAGAAATATTGAAAAATAAAAATTGATGATTATAAAAATCCCCCTATATTTGGAATGATCTGAAGGGAAACGATTATTGTTGTCATGCCAATCAAACCTCAAATGAGTTTGTAATTGTCGAAGTGACAGACACAGCGTTACTGTTCGATTCAGTGGAATTGCCACAATGTGATCAAAAACTTCCAGCTATAGGGAGGCGATACAAATGCGTTATTGCCAACGAAGTCTTAAGAAATGTATGAGAAGCTATACACGCGTTTTATTGAATGGTGCAACAATAAAGAAATGAAAATACCGAATAAAGAAGAAATATTTTTGGCTCATTTCCTAGAAGTGTCTGAAACCTAGAAACCAAACACGTAATGGTCCTGCTGGCTTCCGCAATTAACCTACCTACATAATGGGTCAAACTGTAAGTTCACAAAAGCTATTACTAATAATTAGTATAGATAGAGAATATATTTCTCTTGTTACTAGTTCCTATTTGCATGAATAATTAATTCAACGAGTCAATCAATTCCCTACGCTTGTAGAAAAAAATATTGTTCCTAACTCATGCGGAAAGTGTCTTTCCCGCACTCGACTGCTTGCCCGAACTCCGCCCGCGTCGTTCGTGTCAACGGCAGTCGCGTGCGGGGAAGAATAACTTTCCGCACTTGTTAGGAAAATTACTATTTCGCCAAAAATACAGTTTTTACATTTCAATTTATAATTTTTGTTCGTTCGAGGTTTATATCTAGTTGTGAGTTCAAAACAATGCAGATGTCAGAAGAACCCTGTCGCTATTGTACTTATTTGTAATGAATTTTCATTACATCTCTTTTTTCACCACTTGTGAAAGCCATCGACGCCAAAAATACAAAATAACCGAATGTCATTAAGTGTGACAGATTGAAGCGAATTATCAAACTCGAAGCCTTTTATGATTATTTGTTTTTTCAAATATCTCCGATTTTTCCATAAAGAATGACAACTTGTAATGTACCATTGAAAAGAGAAAAACAAGTTCTATTCAAAACAAGATAAAATCCTATATGGCGCACATTGGAAAAAATGAAGTTGATGTTGGTGGCCGAGAGACGAAAAGTCAGCTAGCAAATCTGAGAGCACTATCATGTGGTAGAAAAAAAATGGCAATAATGTGCAGATCATTTTGAACTTTTAAAATAAAAGCAGAGAAAAAAAGTAAAATCAATTTCATAAAATTTCGGTGTTTTCCGCCGGACATACTTGGAATTTCGAAACTTTCAAATAAAAAAAAATAGTTTTCGACATCCCAATGGTGAGGATCGAATTGGAAACAGTGTATAGTTTGCAGATGTTTCCTCAAGCCATTTTTCTTTTATTTAACATTGCATCAAAGTTGCCAATAACCATTAGATGGCTGTGGACACAAAATATTTCGTAGAGGAAAAATACGAAATAGGAAGATTATATTATAAAAATATTGCAAAAATGTCGGTATAGTGCAGCAAGAATTCAGTCGAAAACGGTTTGAGGGAACATTAGCAAACTACATGTATTTGTGAACAGAAGGAAAAGATCTTTCACCAGTTGAAAATATACAGGATGTTCCATTTAGAGGAACTGATTAGCACTCTTTTTTCTAAATCAATACAAAAAGCTCAAAGTCATAACTACACAATGTTCATGAGTAGAAACGAAGGAAAGGAACACTCATCAGATGGCGTTGCTTTCATATTGTCTATGAAAGATGCCTCTGGGGGAATATAATGCCGACTTGTTTTTGTTTGGCTAGGCTACGCTTAGTCGGCGGTCTTAAAACTGCTGGCTGGAGACTGCCCTGCACTGATGAGAGTCAAACAGCTCGAAACCGGTCTGTAGGTGTCTAGCGTGGCCTGGCTAAATCGAAATCAATAGGCATTCAGGAAAGATTCACTTGTATCAGTATTCGTTTATACGAGTCGATGCATAGATTTCGGGAGGATGTAACTCGATGTTCTGCGTGGCATTAGCCAGGAAAGTAGTTGTTTTTCTCTCGAAATCTACCATTGTTGGTAGACTTTGGTTACCACTTTGAGCATTGTGGCTATTTCGTAGTTGTTTTTACTCTTTCTTCTATTTTGCAATTCGCATTTGTTTACTTAAGGAGTGCCAATAAATAGTACAAATGAACAGTGGCGGCTCGTGTCCTTCATGACAGAGGAGGCTGAATTATATTATGAGATTTATTGTGAAAAACAAACTCTCTACGACTCACCCAAATCAATAGCTTTAATGACATTCTGTTCACCAGTTAACATGAACTTAATACTTGAAGAGATGTGTTCCTGTGATTTGCAGTGTCTATCCAATCCGCGAGGCAAATTCTTCAAATCATTATATCCTAATCGCCACCAACATGATGACCTATTGGTTGAAAATAATACGCAGTACCAACAAAATAGCTCATTCCATACCTCAGATCCCGTCAACCAGATATATTTTTTATAATTATCAGAATTGAACGAACGATTTTGTTTGTTACCTGTTACAATCAGATTTTTTAATTCCGGTGTCGGACGTTTGTTTCTCACAATCAATTTATCTTCATAAGACAAAGCACTGAATGGGTTCACCAAAAAGTATTCCACTAAATCGCAATCGTTTAAAACACTCATTTTTCAGAGATTTATAGAGCTCCTAACCATTAACCCAACATAAACATAAACAATGCACTCGCGCTGGATTGTCCGCAATTCGCGACGCGACACGACAAACACGTGTTATTCGGGCGTATTGCGCGCGTGGGTTGCGAATTGTGAAGGAGTCTAGCCTCCTATAGATGTTGCCAAGTTGAATATTTTACGCGTGATTTACAGAATTCAACGTGTGAGGCGTGGGCAAGCACTGTTGCCAATTCAAAAATATTTACCTAAAGGCAGGAAATAAAATCAAAATCCATGTATTTTGGTGTCTTCTCAATGAGAAAGTATAGATAATATCAGTTTAAGGAGAATCTCTGAGGAGGCTCAGCCTCCGTTGCCTTCTCTGAGGAGCCGCCACTGCAAATGAAACCCTACAACTTCCATACTTGCAGTTTTCCTTACCTCGTATAGTTGAAGCTGTATAGGTAGAGGTCAAAATATAAGGAAACACCATGTACTTATATCATTTTAGAATTCAACATCGCTGATGGTTTGTTTATTATGATCGGGTGATTATTTGGCGTCGTTGAGATTACCTCGCATCGGCTTTCCGTTAATTTGTAAATATTTATCCTTCCTTCACCGCTCCACCCACTTATTGCTATGAATTCAGTCATGTGGAATATGGTATGTTAGAAGCAAAATATTGTA